AAATATGATCGATATCTATGGCATAATTCTACAGAAGTCGTTTATAGCATTAAAGCCAAATTGCGCCCTTTTGGACCCGCCCCTCAGCCCCCTGGGGGGTCAGCCCAACCATTTGGCCAATTTGAATCTCCACTACTGAGGGATGCTTCCAGTCAGATATGGTTGATATCCATCTCGTAGTTCCAGAGAAGAATTCGCTTAAACCACTATAGCCCTATTGCCACCTTTTGGCCCCGCCCTTCAGGTCCCTGGGGGCCAGTCCCACGGTTTATACAAAATTGGTTCCCCTTCACCAAAGGATGCTTCAGACCAAATATGGAACAAATCCTTCCATTCCTACAGAATAAAAAGGATTTTAAAGAATTTGCTATGTTTCCCATATTGAGCCCCGCCCCTCAGCCCCCAGACCAACCATTTAAACAAAATATGTTCCCCTTCCCATAAGGATGCTTCTGACCAAAGAGGTATGGCGGAAAACTGCTCGTATTTCCCTAAGTCGGCATTTATGAAAACGTCATAAAAAAAGAGAGTTAAACATTTCGTGTAGCAAAAATGCATATAAAAGATACAAAACCAATTGAATATGAATGTTTAAACTGCTGAGAAATTAGGTATTGCTAATATGATACTGAAAATATAGCCATATACACTATATCTATGAAAGTGATGGGGTTTCCCGGACTTAAAAAAATACTTTCAACACTTTCCCATCCGAGGACCAACTTTTGAAAAAAAAATTGTGACCGTAATGTAATATGCAAAAACAAATCGTATTACGGAAAAGTGGTCCTCCTTTGGGAAAGTGCTCAAAATAATGAAAAACAGGGGTGATCAAGTTTCTCTAAACTGCGACAGGTGTTTTTCGGGTTAAATACGTTTGTAATTGCCAATATCTATTTGTTTTATGTAGCCGAATGTGTAACGCAGTTTACTTGCGACTAGAAAATGAACGGTGCAGGTTTGAATCCTCCTTCAGTTATTTTTTTTTAAATATTTAGGCATGTGATGATTTTCCTTAATAAGGCAATGATGTTTTTTTTAAATCGATGGAAGATTTTATTAACATTTTAATAACATTGATTTATCAGTTTTGTTAGTAATAATTTCTTTACTATTTAGTGCGACAAACTTCTATCGAAGCATGTCAACAAATCCCTGTACATGTGTACAGTACAGCTACGCTTTGTAGGTAAGACACAATTTTTGATGAAATTTATGAATTGTTTTACCCTCCAACTGGCAATAGTAATCATATCAAGTGCTTAAACACCAACAAATAAGGCCGAAATACCAAGTATGTGGTCTGTTTACAATAATCTATTCTTAGACACGGGATTCCGATATTGCTACCTGTATAAAAATACCTGAGAACGCGTCATAACAGTGCACGGTTGGATGCGCGCACTAGCGTAACATAGATTTGGGGAAATAGGCAAAGCAACCCGCCATATCTCTTTGGTCAAAATCTGCTCAGTCGTTTATGACAAGTAGCGATTTTTAGGAAAAAGTTGACGGATGACGGACGCCGGACGCCGTGCCATGGCATAAGCTCACTTGCCCTTCGGGCAGGTGAGTTAAAACAAAAAAAATACTGGGAATAGATTCAAAGCCGCGCTTGTACAAGGGGACATAACTGGCATAACTTCAGATAAATCACAATATCTCGGAAACGGAATCAGCTACGACGTTCGCATTTTCTTTGCCTTTTATTGTATTATATGAAATATTTGTATAGCTTGATATAGCAAAACGCTCAGGGTACACTTCAAATCATTTTCTAGGGAGTTCCCATCAGATGTAGAGCTTGATATCTAGGATGGACGTCATCAGTTATGACGCTTTTAAGATACACGGATTCGTTTTACTACATAAAAAGATATGATATTTTAATGAATTTCACTAGATTAATTATTTTGCCATCAATTGAATTGAGTACCCATTGGCTTGTGTGTAGTGTCATACCTGTATGTAAATGCAGTGACGAAAGGGGTAAGGATGTTCCTTCGACATGTACGCCACCAAGATCCTCCTTGATCCAAAAGTTTCCGATATCTTTCTAAAATCATCCAGGATGTCGTAATTAGGAAATACTTTCTTAGCCTCGTTCAGAGCTTTTCTCATGTCTTTAACCGGTTTATATTTGGACATTGCATTGTTGTTCATGTCGTTTAGGGCGAGTTTGCTGAGATCAATTGACGAAATCTGATCACTCGATGTCGATATAGTTGTCACATGGGTAGCCTGGAACTTCTTACAAGCATCACGATGTTTTGACTTCCAGTTCCTTTTCTGACACTTCCTAGAACAGTAGAATACCTGGTAGCACCCACCACATCTCTTGAGGTTGGGGGCTCTCTGCTCACAATCTTCGCATTGTTGATCCATTTCGTCCTAACTGCTGTATCCTGTTACAAGAGGTTCTCTCTGCTACAGTCAAGTCGCTATCTGTAACGAGGTTGGTCTGTAATGAAAGGTTTGGTTTGGTTTGGTTTAGTAGTTTAACTTCCTATCAACAGCTATGGTTATTTAAGGAGGGCCTCCCCTGTTTGCAAGATGCATGCGTGTATTGTATGCGTGTGGGTTTGAGACGCTGCGATATGTTCGTGACTGTCTCTTGTGATAGCGCGGAACTGATGCTGACTGTAAAGTGCTACCTCACTGAAACATACTGCCGAAGACACCCAGCAGGACACCCCACCCGGTCACATTATACTGACAACGGGCGAACCAGTCGTCCCACTCCTAAAGTGCTGAGCAGGAGTAGAAACTACCATTTGTACAGACTCTGGTATGGCTCGGCCAGGGGACAGATCCCAAAGCCTTCCTCACAGGGGCGAACGCTCAACTAAAGGCCAAAAGTAAGGGCATCGTCAAGGAGACATTAGTTAGAAGAAAGTTGTTTAGAAAGGCGAGAAAAGATAAGATCCCAAATTTAGTCGCCTCTTACGATCATGCAATGGGGGCAGCAGGTACAATTATTACGCCCTATTGTGTAGTAGGGTGATTCTATAACTCATTGTCCTTGTTTTGGAGAAACACAATTGTTTGTTTCCCCGAGATTAAGGGAAACAAAGAATCGTGTTTCACTACCACCCAAGGATACATATTATGTTATACCGAAATCGAACAAAATATAACAGTAAATAATTAAGATCAGGCATATGCGCCATTTATGAAAGGTGAATGAATAGGACCGAAAAACTCAAGAACAATACGAAAACTCGATGTTTTAATTATTTCCCCGTCGTTTGATCAATGATATCAAATTAGAAAACCTGTTATACAGATATAATGATACCACTGATGGGATAATAAGGGCAGACTGCAAACAATATAAACTCGTCTAATACATTTTAATATCAGAGAAACAGTTCAAAATTTAAAATATGTTCATTTTTTTTTCATATATCGATAACCGTGCAACTGGGCACAAATAAATCAATATAAAGAGACGAGGAATAAAACAGCGTTTAAAGTACTGGATGCAAGCAAAAGGAATTTCGAAATTCCGGAATGATTTATTTTTTAAATCGATGTCAAGTCAATGTTTCGAAATATTATGCACCTTTGTTTTGGTAGGAAATGGAGACCATGCCTGCAATTTGTTCTTTAATCCCTGTTTACGGGGGTACTGTACATCGAGCCTTTAAACGATGCAGGTGTTTTTTGTGTATTGAATAGAAATGTGATTTCTGTACCGAGAAAGTTCGGTTCGGACAATTTGTACAAATGGATCACAGGGACCCGATACTCGATAATCTAGGGGTTTCGCTCACTTACATGCAGAGAGAAAGTAAGCGTAACCCCTGGAGCACCAAGAATGAGGGACCCGAGCAATTTATCACAGCTAAGTTTGGACCAATCCTGAAGTGTAGATAGTAAAATTAGACATTTTAGGGGTTTAGAAACTTCCTTTAAACCCATAAAATGTCTTACAAAATGTATTATATAACTCTCCTCGCGTCAGGTAAATCCCATACCTACCAAATGTATACCACGATATCACCATTGGGGGTGTCCGTTTCACCGAGAATTAATTTGGATCCCTAAAATGCCAAATATCACTCTCTTCACATCAGGATAGGTCGAAACATACATTGGTAAAAATAGACTTTTTACCCATTATGCATCAGGGCAAACAGGTAGGCAATTAATTTATTTGAATGCTATTTTTTTTCATTTTCGTGAATTAGTATCATTCTTTATTTCAAAATTTACTCCCAGAACAGAAAGAATGGACATTTTTCATGAGAGGCTGTGGACTTTGCCTGGCTAATTCAGATTATATACAAGTAGTTGATAAAATTCTAGGGTCGGCAGTAAAACCTAGAGTAGGTTCGGGTATCTGAAATACACATAATTGTTTTTTGCCTAATATATATTATGTACGGACCGTGGAAGGGGGATTTCTGCTACATGTATGCCCTTTTCAATATGATATAAAATTAACTATGCACAAGAACCTTCCCAATGTAAACAACACTGCATAGCCAATGCGAAACAAATCACCAAAATACTACTTCTGTGCCGATTGTATTAAATTTTACTCTTTTAGAATTTTTAGATACAATTGTTTATTTTAGTAGTGTACACTTGTCAAAAGTTGATATCATTGGAGTATTTCGGGAAATTCCTGAAGGAATGGATCAGTGGTTTCACCCGTTGAATTCTATCGACGATGGTTGAATTCAGAGCTAGCATAGCTTTAAATTATGTACAAGTACTACTTGTCATAGATGAAACGGTGTTTAAGTGAACATAATTAGAAGTCAGGACGTTTTCCTGTGAAAATGCCTTAGATTCTGTTGACAACGAAAATAACAAGTTGTTGTTTACAGGCAAAGGCGGCGGACGTGTATCAGTGTATATATACTCATCATACACCTATAGCTATATTCTAATCCTGTTAATAGAACTTCCATTTTCTGAGGTTTGACATGATACAAGAGAGGCTTATGTAACATTGCCTAGAAAGTTTATATTAGATAGAAATTACTGACCTGTATATTCCAGCTTACGTCTGTCCACCCTCTAATCGTCAGTTTACGAAGCCGCTCTCATCAGGGACAGACCATATGGCACATAGGTGGGGAAGGAGTGGTGCACTGTCGACCCAGTGCTGTAATCTGACAAAATATCTAAGAAAGCAAGTCTTCTCTTTATATTTGTTTTATATTTCTAAGATTTTAATGAGATACAATTTTAGAAAATCACAAATAGTAATATGTTTCGTTTTGTGTACATGAACATTTTGACTTACCCTTGCTAAAAATGGGTATGACCCACCAGCCCGTATATATTGTACTTGTCGTGTTGTACGCGACGTCATCAACACTAGTGCATGCAACGGCACCTGTATGGCATGTATTGCTATTTTAAAAACCTGGCCAGATTATATTACATTATATATAGGATCTTACATGAGTTTCCATTTCATGAGTCTAAGAATTTTTCCATTTAGCGAGCCTCTGGCGAGCTAAAATGATAAATTCGTGACGAATTTCATATGCATATGAAATAAAAACGAGTGTAAGTCCTCTTTATCACATACTCAAGATTTGTGACACTTGTTCGTGTAAAACGACAATTTTAATGCAAATTTGAAATGTAAAAAAAAACCGCCATTTTGACTCCAGTGCGTTAGTCTGTGACGTCATGTACTTGTGCTAAGCGTGACGACACACTTGAAACAATTGAAACTAACAACCAATCACAGGGCTGATAAGTCATATTACATGGGTTTATTCACTGGATAACACACTACCTTGTACAATTATGGACCTTTGTGCTGGTGAATATGATGTGATCTAATCCTGAAAAAGAAAACAACTCCAGGTAGTTAGGTACATTGTAGGTGACCAAATACCTTTTCACATCGGAATTGAGAATCGAACCCAAGCCGTCGAGGTAAAAATTGAATGCACTATCCATTGCGCCATCCAATAACCTGAAAAACAGTTTCACCAGATGATATGTGAAATAGAGGAACTCTCATGTCTTCACATGTTAAATATACAGCTTATGACCACCGTCATCAAAGAAAACACACATTAATAGAATTTTAGCTTTAAGCATTAGTTTAAAAGTTGTGTTGCGTCACTTCGTATGGTAACTCGCCGACATGAGCAGTTGAGTAATTCTTTTTGTTTTAACGGTGTCGAATGTGAAAATCATGTTGATGTTGACTTCCGGTGGTCAAGCAAATATGGTCGACGTGTAGTGGCAGCGGAAATAAAGCTATTCTTCATGGATTGATGGAATGTGTGGGATTGCAAAATCATTCAAAAATGACAGATAAGTAACTCTCCCTTGTATAACATGCAATCCGTTCAAAATATTGTGTATCCACGTCGTACTGAGTATTTATAAAAGTGAAGTGGACAATGGTCAGTTTTTCCGCGGTGTCCTTTTAATTTGTTTCCATTGAACTTTCCGTGTAGACCAACTACATTAGCCTAGCTTCACCGTTTATATTTATATGATATATACAGTATTATGTATACCTCAAGATGTCTGTGGAACTATCGGGTAAAGTTAAGAAAGGCGTCCAGGCCATCAGTGAACTCCGAGACCCTGTGATAATAAAGGAAGTGGTGTCCCAGTTAATGGATAACGCCATGTTCAAAGACGCTTTATTGAACACGCTAGGTATCACTGCCATGCACCACAAAATAGAGTCATTGGAAAATAACATTGATGACCTTGAGCAATATTCTAGACGGAACTGCTTAAAATTGAGGGGAATTCCTGAATCACAGGGCGAAGACACCGACCAACTTATTATCGATGCGTGCAACAATTACCTGGGGGGTCTTATGATCACACAGGACGACATCAGCCGGACCCATCGTGTTGGGCCTCATATCAAAAACTTTCCAAGAGACATTATCGTTAGATTTATCTCATATAGAACTAGAGCGGCAGTGTATGATGCCAGATTTGTCCTCTTTAACAATAAAGTCAAGTCTGTAACCGACTCGGACCATTCCGGAAATGCACCCTCCAGCCCAACACACACCACTTCCACTTCGCCTAATCTCTATATCAATGAGGCACCGACTACAGCTAGAAGTCTAGTATATTCCAAGGCTAGATATCTAAAATCTCAAAAACTTGTATCTGGGACCTGGACCAAGGACGAACGTATCGTAATACGTAGTTCTAGCGGCGAAAAGTCACAAATCACACGTCTTGATGAATTAACTGGATATCCCGACCCACCTCCCAAAAGATCTGGAATACGAACAGCTACTGACTGGATCCCTGGTGCACAAGCCACATGTAATCGTGCAAGAGTGAGAAATCCTACCAACATACAGATCCCCGAGGGCCAGAAACCGCGATAGCATACTTGTACATGCATACTGGCCCACTCCAGTACTGGTTTTGTGTGTGAAGAACATGTGCATTTCACAAGTATATAATGCAACTAGTCACAGCTGTAGTACTGAAGTCCATGTATACCTTGTACCTAATTTGTAACTTGTATTACTTTTAATTAAATTGAACTAATAACATGTAATTAAATTGAACTAATATATTTACCTACTAAATGCTAACTACTTTTATTATTATCATAACTTGACCTAAATATACATGTATATTGTACCATTTCTTTATATATGTGACCAAATCAAACATATACAATGCATGTATGTGTGAGACAACTCATACTTGACCTGCAACCAAACTAAATATTGCTGGGTAGTAAACTTTGAAATCAGCTTGTATAACTACAGTATATGTGTGTAAATTCATAGGTTAATGTATTTATTATGGTTTAATATTCATCACATATTCCTACTTCACTTTGGTACTCAACACATGTTCGTAATACATATGTTGCGTTTTCATGAAAGTCCATAACAAGTATATGCTTACAATGTTATATCCTTGTAAAATTGAATCTATGAACTACATCCCATGTCTTATAACATTCACCTGCCATTCATTTGATTGTTCATTCGTGTAAACACAAGTCCAGACTGATTTCTAATGCTAACTCACTTCACCTGTAAATAGTATCAAATACAGCAATGATGTATACAAAGAAAGCTTCTATACACATCGTGGTCAGGTATATTGTTTCGCATGGTCCACGGACCTACAAAGTGTAGTTAACTGTTACAGTGTTGAATGTACATACTTGTCAGAAGAATACGCAAAGTATCAATGTTACTCGCTGCATATCCTGAGGTCAATATTTCTTTTATTTCCAACATGATATATTTTCTTATCTTCGCGAAATCCACGTGAATGCATTCCACCAGCTTGTTGTGATCGGCGTGCTCACTCGTATGCTCCATTCTCGTCTTAATCAAAATTGTTTTTATCTCTTTATTAGAGACTTTTCTTAATTCTCTGTCCTTATCAAACAATTGCTGAGGGTATACTTGAATTAACTCATACAGGCCTATTTCTTGCTAAAATGTGTTTTAAACAGTGAAATGATTCTGATTGATCCAAATCTGGTAAACGTTACATATTGTACCAAATAAGTTGAGCGAACCAGTCAATAGTAGGCAATCAGTGAGTGAAAGTACATCACGATTGTCAAAGTATTTAAAAACATCACTTGTTTCAGATTTCATATATTGCTTTGTAGTTAGTAACCTTTTTAACTGTGCGGTAGATTGGATGTTAGTAATATCTGGGGCAAGTCTATTCATTTCATTTAGCATGGACGGAAACAAACTTTCAAAATATTTTACAATACGACATAAAGGGGGATCAAATAATCTGTTTGGAGGGGATATCTGTCAAGGGTTTCATCATGAATATATGGTGGGATAATTTCTCTTGGGTAATCTGGGGTTTCATTATTCAAATATGGTGGTAGGTAAATCTTGCTCCCGTCCCAAAACCCCGTACCAGGCATATAGAGATATTTTAATATCTCATTAACGCGATCGTTTATATTTTTTATAAAATTATACAATAATTTCAAACATTATTTTCTAAATGTGACAGTTAATAAAATGTAAATTTATCATCTAATAATTTAGAAATTGACGATAATGTTTATTTCAAGGGGTTAAAACTTGTACGCCCCATGCAGTCAACCGTGAAAATCATGGTTTTTCATATATAATTAGATATTGAGAGAAAATTAACATGTTATTTTCAGACATATAGAACAAAATACCTTACTGTTTATAATTATGTAAGTTTCGTTGAAATAAACGACATATTTCACATGAAATTCTGACTTTGTTGTGATCGCGGGCGAGGATCGCGGGTGTTTTGTTTACTCCCGTACCCGTGCTAAGGGGACATCACTCTGTCAATCTATGTCGTTATCAAGTAGAACTCTTCGACATTCTATTAGAATGTTTCCAGGCTCTGCGACGATTTTTGTTAAACTATATATATATACATATATATATATAAGATTAATAATAGTTCACAAAAAATGAATTCATGATTGGTTATCATTAGAAAAAAAAAGTTTTTTTTTATAATAATAAAAAATGGTTTTATGATTGAAATAATTGTGTTCTTTTTCAAAAGGAATTTTAAGTTTACTCACTACACATTTTAACTTTTAATAGGATACATCTACAAATACATTAAAAAATACCAAAAATACTTCTGACTTTTATAGCTGTTTTATGAACACTTACCACACTTCTATGGTGGCATATTTCTGCCATCCACTTGCGACTTACGAGTTACGTATGTCGACATAATTATTGAAAGATGTCGACATAATCTGAGAATATGTCGACATAATCTGAGAAGATGTCGACATAACTGTTAAATTATGTCGACATATTATCACATTTGCCGAGATAATTTTGCCGAGATAATTATCTCGTAAGTGGGTAACTCGGCTTTTTATCGTGTTAATGCTCG